TTGCGATCGCAACAATTAACACAAATTCAACCAATCGTTGCTGCCTGACTGAAGATAAATGGTTGTTAAAGATAAAAGCTAACAGTCGACAAGTCGTTGCACATTTATGTTATTAATTTAAGCTTGATTCAATATGTTATTATAGTGTTAATTAATGTTAATAGTTTAAATGATATTTAAATGAAAAGTTAAAGCTTTGTATTCTTATTTCAGACACAGGTTTATTCCCCCCTCATGTGTTTTTTGTCATTGGTTTCATTTATTAACAATGAAACTTCTCTTCGAGCATTGTCTCTGATTAAATGAACAGATATCACATTTCTGGTTATAGGTTGTTTGGTGCCTGTCAGACTGAACTCTGGGTTCAAAAGAAACAGTTGGTGAATCATTATCTGCTCCTTATATCAGTCAGCCTAACACTGAATCTATAACTCACAGACAGAGAGTTATTGTGCAGACAAAGTGTTGAACAGAACAATAACAGTGTTTATTGTATATTTTTACTCTTTCAGGATGAATAAAGTTCAGTTTTATGTTGAATCTACCTGTTTCTGTAGGTCAGAATCATCTGGCAGCAAGTGCAGTCACATGCTGCCAGATGATTCCTACAGTTTAATTAAAGTTCCCTCCTCTGTATGTGGACAGGTTGAAAAAGTGAAACTGGAGGGATTGTTTTTGTTCTCTTCATTAAGAAGTTTGAATATAATGTAAGAAGGCTGCACACTCGTACTTTCTGTGCAGGTTAATACACAAACTTAAGACTTAAGAAACAGTGAAATTAAAGGACACATGCCGTACAGCTTCAAGGTTTAGGTATGAAGCCTGTGGTGACGTCCTAATGGGATTACACCGTCTATGCCCTCTTTCTTTCCCATAAAGGACCCGTCCTGTAAACGTAAGAGGATTTCAGCAGAACCCACACAAAGACTCGTTGTTAAAACGAGCTGCTGATCTTTGAAACGTCTGATTCCTATTTTGAACCTGACACTGTAGCTGCTTGGGGGCACAGACGCAGCCTGGCGAACGGCGAACCGTCTGTGGTTGATGTTTATCTAGTTCAGTGCAGCCGACACAGAGAGTAAACAGACTGTATTGTTTGTTGTCTCTGAGCTCACACGCTTTTATGTACACAGGCGCCCTGGTGACATCTGAGGCGCCTCGCTTTACTGCGACCACCCAGCGGCTCTCAAATGCCCCCCCACGCTCCTTCAAACACACTCACAGAGATACAGGAAAGGTCGAGTACCAGCCGGAGACCTTTCACAAACCGGTTCAAGAGCCAGGGCCAAAGTCAATGGAGCCCCCCTGCCTGGCCCTCTGCACCGAGCAGCATCAAAGCCCAGTGTGTGTGTGTGTGTGTGTGTGTGTGTGTGGCAAAGTGCTCTGAAGTAGCCAGTAGATCTTTGTTGTTATTGACAGGAGGTCTGTGTGTGTGTGTGTGTGTGTGTGTGTGTGTGTGTGATGAGTGAAACACATGATGAGACGCTTCCATCAGCTCACATCAGTCAGTCTCACTAATAGAAGTATTAAAGGACACACACTGGGGGGTTTACATGGAAAAGAGGCCATTTAAAGGTGCAGTGTAGGTTTTAGTGGCAGCTAACAGTGCAGTTGCAGTTTCAGGTGTGAAGGAGAAACTACGGTGGCCTTTAGAGCCAGAGTTTGGTTTATACACAATGATTCTGATTTCAGGTGATTACAAACTGATATCAACGTACCTACGCTGCAATAAAGGAATCTCAATAAAGTTAACAGGCCTTGTTTGAATGTGAATGTAATCAGTTACATTCTCACCCTGCAAATACTTTGAGTTAGTTTCCTGTAATTAAACCTGCTGTAGCTGTTTGAGAGGGAACTCATTTTAACTTGCAGTAAAATAAACAATGTATGTACTCAGTTACTTGAACACAGTTCAGAAGTACTTTTTACTCCACTACATTCATGTTACAGTTACTGATTACTTTTCAGACAAACATGATCAGTTTATTAGATATGATTCCTTATTATAGACTAAAATACCAAAAATACATATATAGTTAAAGTTACTGCTCTCTTGAACAACTGCTTAACTAATTACATTTACTCAAGTGGTGTACTTTACTCGAGTACTTTTACATCTACTTCACAACGTTTACAGTATTTAACAGATTTTACACACAAACATAAGAACAGGTTATAATTCTTATTGATTTAACAACCAAAATGTACATAAAGTAGTTAAAGGGAAATATATTTAACTTTGTTTTCACATTATATGTTACACACACACACACACACACACAATCAGTTTATATAAGATACCTTATTATTATAGATTAAATCACTTCAGTGTACCATACTGTATATAAAGTACTTAAAATACATATTAAAGCAGAATAATACTATATATATAATCATTCATATAGATTCTTCCTCCTTCAAACTTAAAGTTCAGATTTTAGTTGCAGGACTTTTATTTGTAGTATTTCCACATTTAACACTCATCCCCACTTACTGTATAATATCTCCCAGTTTATAACTTTATTAATGGATGCAGCTAATTACTTCTTTTTCTAAATGTATCCCAACAAACAAACAACAAACTATGGAAGCCCAGAAGATCACAGCAGTCATTATTTGATACGTTTTTAATTATATTGACTTACAGAATCTTTTTTCTGTCATATTGGCAGGAATGAGCCTCCATAAACAATGTCATACTGAAGCTTTTAGAGCAGAGAGACTGAAATAAAACAGAAGCAGCAGCTGAATTTATGAAGCCTGTCTGTCTGCCTGTCTGTCTGTCTGTCAGAGACACGAGCAGCCGACCGTGGTGTGTTTAAGTTCCTGTGTGAACTATTAAAAGTGTCCGAAAGAATCCGGTAAGCAGCAGCAATGGTTCCGTTAAAGCTGTGAA